TTTCCCCATATCCACCGCCTAGCCCGCCGTTATCTCCCATCCCGCGAGCGCCATCTCCGAGCCCCAGCCCTTTCTATCCGCCTAGCCCGCCACATTACGTCAGCCCGCCGTACTATGGTAGCCCGCCGCCTGCATATTCCCCTTCTCCATTCTTCCCGGCCTACCCACCCAGCCCGGCTCCAAAGCCAGCAAGTTTCATCACTCTGACTGGCCAGGCGTACGACGGATACCTGGACGGCTGCACCGTGTACCTCGATCTTAATGACGATTTGCGGTTTAGCGGATCCGAGTTTCATAATCGCACGTTCAACTTCGTCTCGGTAAGCCCCTTGTTCTTATGTTGATGTGTTTCCGACGGTTGCGGGAGTGCGGGAAATAGGGATCCATATTCTCTTGTGTAGAGACAATATAACTGTCTGCAGTAACCTCAAAGATCTAAGAAGCCCCCCAACACCGTGCCAAAGGTTTCCAATGCTGTACCGTCTTTCGTTCTGTGTCCCTTCCGCAGAACCATAGCCAATCCGCGGCGTCCGCTGTATGGGTTGGTTGGTCAATTACCATCCCGGACAACCTGATGAGTGACGAGCTGACGCTTCGTCTTCTACCATCAGACATCCTTTCGGCCAGCAACGGCACCCGCCAAGTTAATGCAACCGACGTCGGCACCCCAGCTGCCGGCTGCTACGATGCCGCAACCTACCTCAAACTCCCCATCGGCCTCGCAGCTCCAGCCAAATGCAGCGTCATCAGCCCCGCCTCCACGCTGCTCGTCAGTTGGACGCAAAACATCCTCAAGGCAGATCCCATTTTGCCGTACAGGATTGCAAGTGAACGCGCACGTGAAGAGATGGCCAAACTCCTGGGCCTCAACACTACGGATCCAAGCCACAGCATCTGTACGACAGACGCCTACACGGCACTCATCCGCTACAACAACACGGCCGCTGAAGGGTTGCTCCGAATTGAGCAAGCGCTCATGAGCATTGTCGTAGACGTCTGCAACTTCGTCATGCACGATCGAGAGGGGCTGTCGGCGTGCGGCCCGCTTGCCTTTACAGCTCTAGCACGTGCACTCCAAAGCCGCAACATCACACAGGGCGTGGATCCCGGGACCGCCCTCATCGACCAGACAATGTTGAGGAAGGTAATCCTAGACACCGTCTCTGCCGCCGCCAACGGGACAGATGGTGGCGTGGCCGTGGCCGCCGGGCTTAATGCGTACTGCAACGACACGGCCCGTGTCATTGCAGCTGCTGGAGGCATAGCACGCGCGCTGTACATCCAGGCAACGGCCACGACGCTTGAAAAGCTGCTGATCTACTCCATGGTAGCGCAGGATTACTTGGCAGATAAGCTTGCGATCCTTGGGTCGTCCACTGCTACCAACGCCATCAGCACATTCAATTCCGAGACCAGCATTCTGGTCCTCCAAGACGTTGCTAACCGCATTCAGTACCTTCCTGGCATTGTACTGCCTGGCTACTCCCGAGGTCAAGCGGGTACTGACAACCAGCCTCCTCCGCCGTCGATTGCTGGTCCTCCCACGCCATCACCTCCGGCCAATGGTACCACTACCGGCGGAAGTGATGGCGGCAAGGATACGTCTGTGGCCGCCGTCCTGCCAGTTGCCCTTATCCTGCCGGCTGCTGTCGTGATTATGGCTGTGCTGTTCATCATTGGTCTGCGGCGCCGCCGGCGACGCGAGCGTTTCGCCAAGTTTTCGGAGCTCGACGCTGCAGCGGCCTCAGCCACAGGGGCTACGGGTGCTGCTGCGGCTGGTGATGGAGGCAGCAGATCCGCAGCAGGGAGTGGCGGCGGCGCGGATAGCAGCAGTGCTGCTGACGGCAATGTAAGTACCTCAGGCGCAGCTGCAGATGATGTGGAGAGCGTTTCGTCCCCAGCAGCAGCAACCACGCCACGCCTTGCTACAACCTCAGCTGGAGGCGCTGTTGCAGCGGCTGCTACCACCGCTTCTGTTGCAATCCAAACGGTTCCCTCTGCAGCGGCTTCCACTGCTGCATATGCTGCTGCTTCCACTGCTGCATTTGTGGCGGCAACGGTCGCTGCTGCTGCTGAGGACGGCTGTGGCGACGAGCGAAACGTCGTCGACGCCACTCCAGCTGCAGCGGTCAGTGCAGAGGGCGAACCTGGCGTCAGCTGCTCTTCACCTTCCGCTTCAGCTGCGGCTCTTCCTCCCGCTCCTTCTCTTGTGGTCGCTGTTGACGCTGCTGTCGTTGCCGCAGAGGTCAGCGCTGCAGTGGAACAAAACGCCCCACCTCCAAACCTCCATCAACAGCAGCAGCAGCCTATCGTGCCTCTGGAGCCGGCCGTTGTCGACTTGAATGAGTTCCTGCGCACGGGCAGCCTGGGTGGCGCCTCAGACGCCCTGGAGCTCTTCGCGTCCGTTCAGTCCAATGCCTTCAGCAACGCTTCATCAACGCCTCACTCGGCAAGCTTCTCTGCTGCTCTTGCTACAGCTGGCGCTTCCGCCTCTGTAGGCATGGCGGGCGCTGCAGCTGCTGCCGGTGCCCGGCAAGGTCGAACGGGGACAAAGGGGACGAGGGGGAACCCAGCTAGCAGTGCTAACACCGGCGCCGGTGGCGGCGGTGGTTGCAGCAGCATCGGCGGTGACCTCAGCACTGCCGAGACACGATCAGCGGCAGCGCTGTCCGTTTCCTCGGTAGTGTCCATGCCAACGCCTCCGGTGGCCATCTTGCCGGCACCGGAGATGGCTTCTAAGTTATCGCCGCAGCCCAGGCTGCCGCACCAGCAGACATCCGCACAAAGCGAAGCCAAGGCGCCTGCATGCTCGGCAGCAACCCCAGGCCAGAGCTCGCCGTTTTACATGGGGTTTGGGGCGCAGACGCCTAGGCCCTCGGCTTCAACGCCTGGGCCGGCACCGGTGCCCAAGCTGTTAAGCAGCGGCGTAGTGATCGTGGCGGCGGAAGCAGCGGAGGCAGAGGCGGCAGCAGTAGCGCCTTCGCCAGTAACGGAAAGTAGTGCAGGTGAAGTTGATAGTAGAAGTAGCGATAGTAGAGGTGGTAGTGTAGGTGACAATGGTGTAAGCGGCGGTGATGGCGAGGGCAGCAGGAACAGCAGTAGCGGAGGCGGACGAAGCGGCATGCGGTGATAGCTTTACGTGCTTCGTTCTGCTGTGCTATACTTAGTTTTTGCTGTCAGGTTCCGCTTACGTAGCTGAGTGAACAACATGAGAACAGAGTGCGCAAGATGGGTTTTGGGGGGGTCAAAGACCATACCAAACCATAGGAGGGACCATACCAAACCATTGGGGGGGGTGTCTCCTTTACGGATTTGTGGCTTGCTTCTGCAATAATAATCAGAGCGATGTCGTTGTGTACTAAGGAAATTGGCTTGGTCCTTGTGTAAGTGCGGCGATAGGTTGAGCGAAATCTTGAGACGTATTGGGTGTGGGTTAGTACTAACTGCGTGCAGGAAATTTATGAAGTGGGTGTGTGGAGGAATTCGGGCATTTAACAGTAGGTGGTTTGAGGGTTATTCAAGGCATAGCAACATCTGGGCGCCGTCTAAGTGGGCATGCATTGAGAGCCCACCTTCGACACTAATACGGCAGGCTAGCTTCGGCGTCTTCAGCGTCCGGCTTGCATGTCGGCATGTTTCTGAACACCGTGTTAAGAACACATATCAACAATATATTGGGTGTTGACAAACGGACGTGGCTTCCGCCAGGCTATGCGTAAGACGATAATCGCACAAGGGGTGCGTGGGGTGGGGGCAGGGGGCTGAAGACCTTTGGATTGCTTGAGTGGAGGAATATGGGGCATTGGACCGCTGGTTTACCCGTAGCGCCGCAAAATGGTGCTCGCGTGCTCGCTTCCTTAGGTTATGTTTGTGCGCCGTACGTAGACTGCAATGAAAGGATTCAGTAGCCGGTTCGTTGATTGCTCTTCCTTTACCTTGCTGGAAAGCGTTGGAGTGCATGCGCCATTCGTGCAGTGGTACGTAGGATCTCGCTGAAACACAGCGGGCGGGGGTTTCCCACTTGTGTACATACTTGTGTTCGTATCGTGCGGCGATGATATGACATACAGGGAGGTGTGTTGGTGAAGCATAATGGGGCAGACCTAAGGTGGTGCGCCCCGGTATTTCGTGTGCTGCTGAGCCGGGACCGTCGCCACGAATCATCAGGAGCGATCGAGTTTATTAAACAGAGGAAAGTTGCAACCACGCAAGCAGCTTTCCTCTGGTTAAGGGGCATTGAATGGCGGGGAAAGGGGGTAGTCTGCTTAACCCGCCGTGCGTAGACGGGTACTTGGTAAGCTGCTTACATGCATCAGGGTATTAGATGGCTCCTTGCCTGGGTTATTTGTACCGAAACGTGTGACCGGGTGTAATCGCATTGTGGGGGCTGATGGGGAGTCCGGTGGTGTATGTTTGGGGCAGTAGTCGTCCGCGTGCTGGTCCGGCATGGTTGCCGGGCGGAAACCAACTAACGGAGATTCCAGCCAAGTTGACATTTATTGACCTGTCGCAAAGGAAACTGAGTACGATACCCATGGCTGGGGGTTACGTGTGCCTCATACTGCATGTGTCTATCAAAGCCCAACCAGTTTGGGGCATGCATGTTCGTTATTGCGGTGTGTTAGCGGCGTGCCTAAACGTTGTTGTTTAACGGCTGCATCCTCGGCAAAATGCGGAGGTAGACGACACAGGTGTAACGGTACCGTCCTGTTGTATTCCACGCGCCATAATATGCTGCGGGTCACCCCGTAAGCATTGTGACCCATGGGTCACGTCCCCTTGTGTCCTCTAGATTCCCCAGGCGTCGCCCCCATAGATTGCTTTAAATAAGGTTGGCTTTCTGTGTACGGCAGATGATGAGATTCAGGTATATATGCTCGCATGCGGATGTTGAATCCGCAACCCTGCTGCAATACTTAGTATCGTAATTCTAATGTGTTACATTAGGACGTGTCCATTATTGCGTTCCTTATTGCCGAGTCGTAAACCATAAAGATGTTTCACAGCTTTGACTACTACCAAAAGACCAGCTGGTCGGCTATCTACATACCCCATAAACGTGAAGACATTGCGCATGCGCCAAGTCCCCGAATAAATATATATGTAGCGCCCAATCCTGTTCGCGTGTCCCACACGCTGCATATATTAAACGCTACTGCTGCAGGACTCGGACTCCAACACGGATCACACCATAGACGGATACTGGAAGTTGCATACCGTAGGTTAACCCCAAGCAGCCAACCTTTCGAATATTTCGTATCGGCAATCACAAAACCTAGTAAATTTAGGGCTAGACTACTAAGGTCTGCAACGAGACCCAGATGAAAATGCCTATCGGAATAGAAGAAGGATACGTAGTAACACATTCACACCCGGGGTTATTACGTTTGCAAGGTCCTTTTTGGCTGACATGCATGCGTGCTTTAAGGCGTCGGCAGTGGCACGCATACCCCAGTACAGTAAAACGGAATAACATACTATGTGTGCTATCCACGCTCCACGCATATGCAAACCGTTCCCAGTTCCTGTGACAAAGCGTGAACATACATGCGACCACCACATAGGGTGGAGATCAGTTAAAGCACAAAGGCCCACATACATACATAGCCCCATCAAACGTGAATCACGAGGGGTTCACGACTACTACCATAAACGCAAGCAAAGATACCCAAGGCCGTTTGCCTATATTTATTATTATCAGCTTGCCCATAGCAGCACTGTTTCGCATTCTTAGCACCCGCAACCAGCGGAACCAAGAAAGACCTGCTGCCAATTCCTACCGTATCTACAAGCGAATACCCACAGCTGCTCGGCACCAACTTAATTTAGGGACCCTCACCTTTCGGCGGTATGGCCTTAAGCCGCCGTACCAACCCACAAACTAGGCACAGTAGTAGCATCAACTGCATCACCGCTATAGGAGCATTCCCCAAGCAACCGTATTTGCTCAGCAGGGGCCATACGATGCATGGAAGAATATAGGATGAAGACCACCTTGGGTGTTCATGAGGGAACGCAAGGTGCAAATGAAGAAAACGGACACCCAGCAGCAACCCCGGGACTGCAAGCAAGAGAAACCAAAGCAAATAAACAGTTGCACGTCAATCTACCTGGCCACAACCGCCTTTCATATGCAACTGTTTCAATTGAAACTCAAAACAATTCAAGCCCATGGGAGGTGTCCCTTATTAGCAGTCTATCCCCATCAACCACAACCCATCCACGTGCCCACTGAAAGGAAAGCAACCTGCCTGCGGCTTCCCGGAACTGATAACCCTTCCTCTATACACACACAGGTAAAGGACAGCCAACCAGCGACACAAGGAACCCAACCCTTAATAGCTAGCGACACAACCAACACACACGCACACCCCTTCTTCCCAATAATTGATTGTTAATGGCGCCGGCGCACATACACATCCGCAACTGCCGTACTGCAAGCTAAGCTGTCCTCCGGAGCCATCATTGTCACCACCTGCTGGTGCTTCTGCTGCAGCTGTCCTGCTTCTCCTCCACCAAACAACATCATGGGATCAGCTGTAAAGAAACCACTGCTACCCCCCGCTCCTCCGCTGCTCCTGCTGACAGCAGCGCCTGCAGAGCCGCGGTAGAATGGTGACAAAGGCGCGGCAAACGGAGACCTAGGGGAGAAGGCACTAGCCCCCGCCGCTGCTGCTGTTGCTGTTGCGGAGGAAGCCATTGTCGGAGTCGAGACAACAGAGCAGCAGCCATTGTACGACATGGAAGCATCAGCAGCAACAGCAGAGTACGACAGACGTTCGTCATTGCCGTAGCCGCCCTCGCTGAGGGTGCTGTAGTTGCTGCAGGAGGAGGCGGTACGGCCGCGACGGCTCCAAAGATGTATCCAAAAGTGTCGTACAAACGCACAGGCGACAGCAACGGCGCCGGTACCCTCATTGGCAGATGTAGGCAGGTGGGACGTGTGGCCCGTGAGCTGAGTACGAGCAAAGACGAAGGCGCGTCGGCAGCGACGCCACAGACGGCGGGTGAGGTTGAGCCAGTGCAGCAGCAGAGGAGTACCTGGGGCAAAGGACGAGGACAGGAAGAGGAGGGAGGCATGAAGGGAAGGGACAAAGTGGTGAAAGGGAAATGGGTAAGAGAAGGTGGCTACGTAGGTCAATGAGCGACAAGCGCAGGAGCGAGAGCGCAGGAGGATGAGCATAAACGTGACAGCTAGCCAGAGCTAGCCAACCCGCGTGAGAACTTACTGCTTACCATCCAGGGACTTTGATGAGGACCTTCTCCCTCCAGAAGTAGAAGCGCGGGTGTTGCTGCCTCCCTCCGTCAGATCCTCGATAACCGCGACAGCCGTAAAGACCGCCGCACCCAAGAGCAACAACGCCAGCAGCACACAGGCAAAATCCACAACGCCCCAAGCCTTGCGACTGCCGCTGCCGCTGTTCCGATTGCTGCTGCGGTTGCTGTTGCGGCCACCGTTGCTGACCCGTTGTTGTTCAGCCGTCGCAGCAGTCTTATCGGCAGAGGCTGAAGACCGGCCGCGTTGCGAAAGGGACGAAGACGGCTGCCCAGAACCCTGCGAACCAGCTGTGGGCCTCGGCTGAACCGCACCATTCCCGCGCGCATCATTACGAAGAACGGCCTCGTTAGCAGGCATGGCCGCTGGCTTGGCATCCCCCAGAAGCAACAGCCTCTCAATCTCGCTGTGACGGTGACCACGAGGGTGTTGGGGATGCTGCGATGCAGGTTCATCAGCGATAGCAACTGTAGAGGAGGGCTGATTGGGCGATCGGTGACCCGCGGGTCGGGAGCTGCTCACCGTGATGCCGGCATCGGCATTGTGTACGGCATGGCTACCGCTGGTAGCAGCGGCTTCCTGTTTGCGTGCAAGCAACGCCTCCATCGCTGTCCGCACCTCTTGTGGTTGCTTAGCGCCTTTGTTAGCTGCGTTTGCAACCTTGTTACCCTTGCTGCTGCCCATGTGTGCCGCTTCTGTTGCCCGTAGCTGCTTCTGGTGTGGCTGCTTGGTTGCCGTAGTGGCAGTAGCAGCCACAGTATCAGTAGCGGTAGCAGCAGTGCCACCGGTTCGGGGCTGTGGAGTTAAGGGAGGAGCCTGGAGGCGGCTAAGCACGTTATTGCTGCTGCTGCTGCTGCTGCCGCTGGAAGGCGTGGTTGGCATGTTTGGGTCGGCAGCGGGAGTTTCAACAGGCGCAGCGGACGACAGACCGCCGTTATCGGAGGAAATGGAGGCCGCGGGCTTGGTGCTTGAAGTGATGGCGGAGGAGGAGGTGGAATGGGGTGCCGGTAGAGGGATGCCCGACTCACCAAAGCCGTGATGGTGGCGGTCGGGATCTGCAAGCGAGGAAGGGGCGAGAGGAGCAGCTGTATAAAAGCGAAACATCAGTTACGGTGTGTTGATCAATGAAAAGGCGAAGATGAGGTAACCGGCGCGAGGCACGCTGAGTGTCCTACGAGTAACGTCCCACGAGGCCCCTGAGTACTTGGTAATGAAGCGGAAGCAACCAGGACCTTACCTCCCAAAACCTTGGCCTTCATCGCCGCGGCGCGCTTACGCTGCATCAATCGCCCATAGGCTCGCTCCGTCATGGGCCCAAATGATGTAAGCTTTTGCTGGGGAACGCGTTGGCCGCTGCTGCCGGTAATGTCGCTCTTGGGGGTGCTCAACGCACCCGGCATTGGTGCGACAAGGCAGTTGCTCCCTGAGCATGTAGGGCCCGACACGCCTTCCTTTTTATGAGACGTCGTAGGCAGGGAGCCTGCAAGTAGTGCAATGGCATGGCTACCATAAGTTTAGAACCACCTCCTAGCGCGTCAGCGCTAAAGCAACATGCACGTACTCTTCGGGGCTTGGGAAGCACGACAATCACTTGTAAGGGTTAGCGAGGCTGGAGCGCAGTTATCGCTACCTGCGAAGACCCAAGGAATGTGGTGGGAAGGATGAGTAAGAACCATGGAACGCGCCTTACTGGCATACACGCTCGACCTCATTTAAAGCCTCTATTGAGTGTTCGGCAACGGCATGACAATTGAACAGAGCGTTATGCAATGCTAAAACGGCCTATGCATGCAATTAACAACCTTTTGCTCACCTGCTTGCTCATGTGGCCGGGGCTTTTGTTCAATATGGTCTTCCAGCATACGGTGAAGATGGCCAGAAAGACCCTCCTGCGCAAGCGAAACATGTAAGACGCGGGGAAGCATACGCGGCTCCGACTCGGACCCCACAGCTCCACACCTTCCTCACGTCGCGCAGCAGCATCTCTGTCATCAATGAATTCATAGGAGCCGCCTGCGGACCACAACGAGTGGACGCCGTTAACTCCATTGCGGGTTATGCTCGCGTATTAGCTGACCCCGTGAGTTCTGCTGAGCGGACCCGTACCTGGAGCCAGCCATGGTGAATTGCTATTACACAAACCACAGCAAAAAAGCACATTCGGCAACGCGCCATTCCTCAATGCTTCACCATACGCCGGCTAGGTTGGTAGTTGGGAGTGTTTGCTAGGGCTGGTATATCAAGCAATATACTAAGAGACCGCTACTGTTTCTTGTAAAGGCACGTTTGTGGGACATGCGGGGTACCTAATGAGTAGGAGCTACAGGAACATGTACTGCGTAACTGCATCAACCGCTCTCAGGGCAGTTTCGAGGCACAAGGCGTGGACCGGCGCACGCCAAACCTACTATGCATTTAATGGGTACTATACCGACTTGCACATAGAAGCCTTCCTAAAGCACTTCAGTATACGAGGAGAGTTACTCTCTGGACGGTCCGCATTGGGCGGTGGGCCATCGATATAAATGTTTTAGGATAACTGGCACGGAATATGCTTACGTGAAAGATAAAGCGAATGTTAATGCTTGGCAGAAAGGTGTGCGCCTTGCTTAGTAGTTTTGACACATCCGTCGTGCTAACTCATTCTTCACGCCTACAGCACAAAGCGTGTGTGCAGTATACCTGACTGGATACTCTAAAGTGGCTTTCCACTAAATTGACAACCCATAGGAATTTCCGCATTCGGCTCTTCGGCCTGAAAAGGAATCATATTGCGGCAAACATCCTGCATCCAACGAAGTGAAGGTACATTTGTTTATGCATGGAGTTAGGCCCTTGTAGTTGGCGGCCCTAACCAGTAGACAGTGAATGGCGCCCTTGATAGGCCAAGAGATCAAAGTACGTTCATGAAGCGAAGAAGATGTATGCCATATGCTCACATCCATTTGCAATAGCAAGTCATTCGCAAGAAAAGAGGCTCCTAAGTAAAGTGGTCTCAGTGTTGTAGAAGGAGGACTCAATGCAGGCTCTCTCACTAGCTTTTAGGCTTTAGCCAAACACCTTATACAATACCTCTTTAACAACTTAGACGAAGCTAGCTCACGTGCTCACCTCACCACCTCCCCTTATGGTCGTACACACAGATTTCTGGCTTCCACAGGCCGGGCACGTTGCGAGTCAAGGCATTCTTTGGCAAACAAACTGCAAAAGATCGGACTTGCTGATAGTGGAATGTAACGTTCGTTTGTGCCATATATGGCCATGTTGACCCCAGAAGCCGTAGGACCTGGCACTTAGCACACCGCTGTGAAAATGTATGCCAACGGATCTACTCCACGCATTCGCAAGGAACGCAAAGTATCTGTAGTCTTCCAGCATCCCGATGATGGCAAGGTAGTCGATGCTGCAACTGCTTACCAAACAAGCAAATTTCAGAACAATACCGCACCCATGGCTGTACTACGTTTCCAAACCATGCGCAGCACTGTGCTGGCGTAGAGGCGCTGCTATTTCCCTCGGTGCCGAACCATAAGCTGCTCTTCACAGCATCGCGGGACTCCACTGTCAAAAGGCGAGTACCCCTGCCACGGCCCCCTTACCCTAAACCTCCCCACCTGCTTGCTGTTGAGCGATTGCCCATCCTATAATCCTTCCATTCGCCATGTCCTTACTCCGGCTTTGCATCACCATGCCATGTTGCCGCAGCCCCTGCCCTGGCGCTTCCCCCCTTCCCTCTTCGCGCTCCTCCTCATGTCAACCCCATGGCCTCGTGACTTGGCCCCTCCTCCTTACCTCTTCCTATTCCCTTCCCAACACGTCGATGTATTGCGGACCTCTTCCACCAAAAGCCACGTCCTCCCTCCTTTATGACGTGCCCTTCTCACCCGGACCCTTTTCCATCCCTTCCCTCTGCCCTTTTCCTTGCTTTTCTCTCCCTTTCCCATCCCTTCCATCTGCCACCTCCCCCCAGGTGGGATGTGGCGGGTCCCGAGCCGGTTCTGGAGGCCAGCTTTGACGGCCATGCGGACTGGGTGAACGACCTCGCGCTCATAGGTGGGAGGATGGGGGCGGTCGGGGGTGACGAGGAAACCCAAGCAGGCGTTATAGGGAGAGTACTTACTGAGAGGGGGAGGTGGAGGCCGTGTGGAATAGGTTGAGAGGGAGGCCATTGGGCCAGAGGAGAAGGTAAAAGGGTAGGAGCGGTGAGGGTTACCAAGTTCACACAACCAGCGAAAGCTAGGGGACAAGGAGGGGAAGATGGGGCGGGAGAAATGGCGGGCAAGGAGTTACAAGAGTCCGGCTGGGAGTAGGTGTTTAGTCCTTGACCTACCCTGCTGCTGTACAGGCGATCTGCTTATTACCTGCTCCAACGACCAGACCGTACGACTTTGGAAGGCAGGATCAGATAACGGTGGGTCATGGGGTTGCACGTGGTATTGCTGGGTTTTGGGGGAGCGGAACAGGGTCCGATGGGTTTGGCGTCCGCGCTACGCAACATTAATGGTTGCGTTTGTCGGTTAGGGTCGTATGGGATAACCCTGCGTTCAAACGTTGCTGGCATGCGGTCTGAATGGATGTCTCTTCGTGACATGTACTTGCGGGTGGGGTACTGCTCGCCCCACCTCTGTACCCCTTTTGTCGCGCCCAACCCCGGTAGCTCCTCTTACACCAATGTTCCCGTACACGTTGTCGTACGGATTGCTTTACAATCGTTGCCGTACAACTCCATTCGTACAGGTCAGCACCTGCACACGTTGTCGTACCACTCGGACTATGTTACCTGCCTCGCCGCGGCCCCATCTCGCGGCATGGTGGTGTCAGCGGGGCTGCGGTCGGAGATATTCCTGCTTAGTATCGAGGTGAGAAGCGAGCTAACGGTAACCAACTGAAGAGCCGCGGGGGTTAACGAAGCCGATGAGCCGCGGGGGTTCAGCAACTGATGAGCCGCGAGGAATTGCTGACCGTTACACCCAACCGTATGACTAGAGGTAGTACGGTTTGGTCCTAGGGATTCGGGCGGTCACGTGGGGGCACCCTTCGTACCGAGGGTCGGGTTACCTCAATCCAACCCCCCTTTCCCTCATGGGATTGCGACTCCAGTTGCTGCACTTCTCATTTACCTTTTCCCCTGTCGCCCCTAACCCCCATGCAGACCGGCAAGCACATGCAGCTCTACCCCCGCTCCCCCCAGCCCTCCCACTCCTCCGCCCCCGCCGCCGGCAGCCCTGCCTCCCACCATCCCACCGGTCAGCCACCCCTCTCCGGAACCTCCTCCCTCGACCACCACCACCAACAAGACCTCATGGGCATCGGAAGCGGTGGCGCCGGTTTACCTTCCATGGGCAACCACAACAACATGCATGGCATGGGCAGCGGCGGCAGCAGCGGAGGAGGCGCCGTGAAGGGCGCTATGGGTTCGGTTTCGGAGCCTCCGCAGCAGCAGCAACACCACCCGGGGTCTGTGTATGCGCTGGCGTTGACACCCTCAGGTACGGTGGCGGGCTGGGGGCAGGATGAGATGGTACGGTGTGGTGGCGTGGGGGCGGGAATGGTTGGGGTTGGAGAGGGCTGCGAAGAGAGGACCAGGCGAGGCTGGGGAGTGAGGACAAGGCTTACAGAAACTGATTGGTGAGAGCTCAATACCCTTCTTTCTCTTCCCTCGCTCCCTTCCTCCCGCAGGCACCGTTGTGGCAGCGGGCACCAGTGAGGCGCTAATTCGGCTGCTGGACCCGCGGAGTGGCAAGAAGATAACCAAGCTAAGGGGGCACCAGGTGAGGTGAGGGAGTGGTCGTACTGGATGGGGTTTGGACACGTACACCATCCTCCTTCGGACGCCCCTATCATGCCTTACCACGCGCGCCCTTGTCTCGTCCAGTCTTCCCATGGTCACGGTCTGTGTGTGTATGTTTCGTCGCTCGGCTTTCTCCATTTAACTTTCCCTCCTCATCCCTCCCCGCCTACCTCCTCGCATCTCCCCGCCTACCTCTTCAGGACACGGTTCGCGCGCTGCTGATGAACAGCGACGGCACCACGCTGCTGAGCGGCGCATCGGATGGCACCATCAAGCTGTGGGACGTGGGCATGCAGCGATGCGTGCAGGTGAGCTGTGGGGATACAAAGTGACCCATGGGTCGCGAAACCTCGCGAGACGCGCAGATTGGACTGTAAAGGGAAAGAGAGAGAGGGGCATAAGCCGTAGGGGCGTGTACAGGGGCGTGTACAGGGTGGGCTATGAGGGGCTCTCCTCGCGCTCCCCATTCCTCCCTTTCTTTCCTCTTCCCTTCCTCCCTCACCATCTCCTCCCCTCTTCCCTTCCTCCCTCACCATCTCCTCCCCTCTTCCCTTCCTCCCTCCTCCTTTCCTTCCCCTCTCCCCCTCTCAGACCTACAACGTCCACAGCGACTCGGTGTGGTCGCTGTTGTCCCCGGACGACTCCTTCTCAGTCATCTACAGCGCAGGAAGAGACCGCGCCCTGTACCGCACGTACACGCACAGGTATGACGCGCATGCGTGCCGTGGGCCGTACTTCACTGCTCCTTGGCAGCAGCACCCACACCAGCTGTCCAGCACACCAGCTGTCCAGCACCCCTGCACAATGGTTGTCGCCTTCCGGCAACCCAGTACGTTCCTATGGGGGCTATGGGGGCCGCCCAGTTCTCTTGACACACATGCAAGGACGAAGTGTGCCCCTCTGCTGTTTGCGCTATCTCTTCCTCACCCTCTCCTCACCACCAATGCTCCCTGCCCGCTCCTGGCTCCCTCGCCTCCTTTCCCCGTCCCTCCCTTGACTTCCTTTCCCGAACCTGCCCCCCCCCGCCTTACCTCAGTCGTACGAGCGAGCTGTTGGCAGTTGAGAACGGTCCCGTACAGGCCATGGCACTTGAGGTGGACGAGGCGGGAGGTGAGGGAATGGATGTTTCCCAGAAGAAAGGACAAGGAAGGGGGTGACAGGGAGGGCAACCGGACATGGCACAGCTCAAAAGCGCATTCCTTCCGCCTTTCATCAGAACTTTCCGAACCCCCCGTCCGCCCCCGGTGCCCCCTTCATGCCCACACCTTCCCATGCCATGCCCCAGACCCCACCAGCGGCAGCGTGGGCTTGTGGGTGGCTACGCCCGAGTCGCATGTGCACAAGTGGGCGGTGCCGCGGGAGGCGGCTGGTGGGGCAGGCGCGGGTGCGGAGAGGGGCTTCTCGAGTGAGTAGAGGAGGGGAGGGAAGGGGTGATGAGGGGTGCATGGTGCTGAGAAGGGTTCTGGAGGGGGGGGACTCAGAACGATGGTGGGATGCCGCGGGAGGAGCAGGGGCAAAGAGGAAACAACTAACTGACTGAGGGATAAGGCATCAACATGGGTTGCAACATGTGAGCCAGCCCGACCCGCCCAACCCGAATTAGTGAAGCCAGTACGTGTAATGCACTTACCAAAAAATGAAGACTTAAGTAAGCCAGAGCGAAGAGGGATAGGGAGAGAAAGAGTAGCGTCGCCAGTACATCGAGGTAGCCAGCAGCCGCGCCGACGGTCCGTAGGGAGGAGCAGGGGCGGTGAAGGAGTCACCTGTCCTCACCCTTTCTTGATTCTCTTCCTATCTTGATCCTTCCCCTCAGTCGCCCGCCGCTCCCACGGCCTCACCGCCAACCTGCGCAATCGCTCCGTGCACGAACCCAGTCGTCTGGCGCTCGCCAAGAGCCCGGTAGCAGTGGTGCCTGGCGTGCCGGGTAAGGGGCAGTCACAGGGGCTTAGGCTGGCTTGGGGGTGGAGGGCTTAGGCTGGCTGGGGGGTGGCTACCATGCTGGTTAAGGGGTAGTGGTAAAGAGGGCCATATCGACGACACCGTGGTTCAACGTGTGAGGAGCAGAGGGGAGCAGACAGGCGGGAGGGGGGGGGGGTAAATGAGGAAACAACTAACTGCCCGTGTGATAACGCGAGGGGGGAGTCAGGTGACTTAGTTCGTCCCCAGGGGAGTCGGCTAGTCAGGGGGCAGACAACAACCCATGCCCCGGTGGAAGCTTCCTGATGCTGCTGGTACACTGTCATGTACAGTACGACTTCCGTAGTGTTGTACGATCCACACAGTTAGTATTACCTGTACGTGCCGTACACAATGCACACGTGTCGTGCGATTTGTGCAGGTATCGTAGCTCACGAGGTGCTCGCGGATCGGCGGCATGTGCTGACAAAGGACAGTGCGGGGCTGGTGGCGTTGTGGGATGTACTGCAGGGGGCGCAAGTGGCGTCGTACGGCATGGTAAGGACGGGTGAGGGAAAAAGGAGTTAATGTCATGCCGTATAACTACTAGTATAGGCTGACCTAGCAGAGGGCACACGTGGTGTCGTACGGCATGGTGGGTGTACGGCACGGCAAGGTCTTAGGCATACGCCTCCCTCACGTTGTGCCTTTTATCCGCTTTCCAACCTCCTTGTCCCCCCACCTCCCCACCTCCTTCATCTAATTCCCCACCTCCTTAGGTCGACCTGGCTGCGAAGGCCAAGGAATTGTGGGAGGCCCGCTCCGTTCCCTCCTGGTTCACCTGCGACAACAAGCTGGGCTGTCTGGCCATCACGCTGGAGCCGCCCTCCGCGTTCATGGCGGAGGAGTACGCGGCTCAGCTGGACTACGCAAACGTGCCTGATGATTACAAGGTCAGTGGGCTGGTATGAGGTGCAGGGGGGGGGGCGGTGAGATCTGCCCGTGAAGATGTGATGCAGTGGAATATTTCATTCCGCCAATCCCGCGGCATGACTAAGGCAGGACGGGCAGGGTGGGACGGGACAGGATAGGGCAGGGCGGGGCATCGGATACACACACGTGCAATCACCGTACATGAGATGCCGTACTGACATGCAGTCATCCTGCGCATCGATTACTAATTCACATGCCGTACGACGGTAACGACAAATCCACAGGTCAACTACGGCAAGTTGGTGCTGGACTGCGTCTTCGCCAAATGGCGTTACAAGCTGGCGCAGAGCATGGGGGCCTCCGCCTCTGCTGCCGCCTCCTCATCAGGCCATGCGGGCGCGGCTGCTTCCATGTCCTTGCCGCCCTCCTCCTCCACTTCGATACAATCAGCATCAGCAGCGCTGCCGCAGGGGCACCAGGGGATAGCGGTCGGAGGGGGGCAAGGACTGCATGGGAGTGGGGTTGGTACGGCAGAAGGAGGAGGAGGAGTGTCGTACTATGGGGAGCTCTGGCCCAAGTACTGGCAGTGCCGGGCGCTGCCTGCGGGTGGGTGGATGGGTGGGTGGGTGAGATCAATTGATTGATCTGTCCGTTGTCGTTGATCTGTCTGTTACTGTCAACGTTGCTTTGAATCGTTGTGTTAAGTGCCCCGCCTCCATAAAGCATCGTATCCTACTAACAAGCCATCTACCCACCGCTCGTCTTGTCCCCTGCCCCCTACCTCCATCCATTCTTCCTGATCCCCCAAGCCCTTCCCTCGTGCCGCAGTCATCTGCTCGCGTCACGACGGGCAGCGCTGGCGACGGTTGATCTCCTCCTTCGACGGCTCCGAAACCGAACCCGTAGAGGTGCCAACCTGGGTGGGAGATGTCGTACTTCGCAACACCAGCGTCACGCCCAAGGAGGCCAAATGCGCCTTTATACTGCTGCCGGCTGAGGTAAGAAGGAGAAGGTATTTTGCCGTACACATGGGGACTGCCGTACATGTACCGTAGCGGGAGGTGACGTCAAGGAGAGCTGCCTGCTTCGTCCTTCCGCCCTCTTGTGCCGTGACTGTTTCAGTTGCATTCTCCTACCTGTTGATGTGTCGTCTTATAACCATTATTTACTGACTGTTGCGTCCCCTCACATCCTGCCTCTCCGTCCCCCGTCTGCCTCCCCTCCATTCCCACTAGGGCTCCAACCTGCCAAGCCTCATGCAGAGCAAGCTCAACGCGCCACGCATCTTGCAGGTGAGGGGGGCTGGGTCCTGCAGTACATACACACAGGCCCTACACAGACCTTCACCTTCCTGCAATTACAGTACGTTCCGACTCGCGGCCCGTTTTCTTACCTCATAGACCTCCATGCTCCATTCTCCATCACTGCCTTCGTCTTGCCAATGCCTTTAACGGTACATGGCCTCCTGTTTAGACTGAGTTTACGGTTCACTCACCCATTGCCCTCGCCCCTCTCGTCCCCTCACTCCTCTAGATCCATAAGGTCGCACACTACTGCTGCAGTAAGCTGCAGGTAAGGTGGGGAAGGTAGGGAGATAGGAAGCTAGAGAAAAAGGTAGGCAGGAGGTGACGGGCTTGTCGCCACGCATATCTCCCGCAAACGCCGTCACGTAAAAAAATCGCCGCTGCCAACCGTTTCGTCACGTTAATCGTTACAGGAACAGAACGTGCAGTTGGAGGTTCGGCCTTTCTACCTAAGGCGGCCGCCGTACGCCCCTCCCGAGCCCCCCAGCGGAGGAGCAGGAGCAGGAGGTCGCGCGGCGCTGGAGTTGACGTGCAACGGCGTGGTAAGAGGCTTCGGTTGGTTGGTTCGTTGGTTGGTTGGTTACATGGGGGTGCAGTGATGTGGCTAGTTCCGTATGTGCCTAGTTTCGGGCGCAGGAGCTGTGTGTTTGTGATGTGCCCATGAAACATCCGACACATTTAAGGGAAGTGCGAGTAAGGACGTCGGATAGGGCAACACGCGCATCCCTTGTACGGATGAACGTACGGCAAGGGCATCGGAAGAACTTGTAACATTGCTTTATATCGTTCTTCCTCCTCGTAACTCCTTGTCGTTGTACTGCAGGCTGTGCCGTACGAAATGAGTTTGGCAACCGTCAAGAAGTACATTTGGAAGAAGTCGGACGACCTTGTGTTCCATTACCGGTGAGTGTCTCGCTTGATGGCGATGTTTAGGAAGCGAGGATTACACTGGAGGACCAACCAGCGAGCCCATGTCTAGCCCGTTTTTTCAGTACAGCTACGAAGTTAAGAATGCGCCGAGAGATAACATGATGACTCCCATTCACTGTCTTTCGCACCCTCACATGGATTTTCTCTTCTCCATCTCCTTTACTCCCTTTCACGCACTCGCCCGTCCGTGTTCTCGTCCGGTCTTGTGTGTGTTTACTTGTTATATTTACTTGCGGTGTAGTTCAGATAGAGGCTACCAAAGTTTTCTCATTCAGCTGGTTTCTTACTTCCTGTCCTTCCTTTCTAACAATCCAGATAAAGATAATTATACTAAAAGCTTCACATGCGTGGTTCGTTGCCGCCGTACCATTATCACAGGATCCGCGACCCAACCCGCCCGGCGCCGCCGCCTGCATTGAGTGCCGGGGGCTAGCGAGGAGCAGGAGGCGGGCCGCCGTACGGATGCCTACAGCCGCCGTACGGATGCCTTCAGCCGCCGTACGGATGCCTACAGCCGCCGTACGGATGCCTACAGCCGCCGTACGGATGCCTTCAGCCGCCGTACGGATGCCAGAACCAGAGGGGCGGGGTGACAGGTGAAACCAGCGGATGCGGCAAGGGGCACCAGGTGGGAGTGAGTAGTCGTCGCCCACGCCTGCGCCGCCTAGCCCCCTGCCCTTTCAGGTCCACAGGGTGATAGAGCGGGCGGTGAACATGCCTCGGGGGGTAGTAAAGCGGGAGGAGTGGAGCGGTGTGAATGTGCACTTTCTAATCCGGGGCTTTGCGGTGGGTCGGCTTGCTAATGCAGCGGGAGCAGGATGGTAGGGTACCCGCTGTAATGTTGGTGCCATATCCATATCCGGTTAGTGGACAGCGAGCTAGGGTCCGGCTAGGGAACGCCTTGACCGAGTGGTGTAAGCCGCTGTCTGGCAGTGGGAGATGGCTTAGAGGACCGCTGTCTGGCAGTGGGATATGGCTTAGGAGCGATGTCGCTTGGTTGACATGCCAACCTGCGCATGTGTGCAGGGTCCCTTACTGTAGCTGTACCGCTCCCGGGATGCCGTGGTTGTGTAACGGACCCGGACGTGAAACCGGCGGTGGTGATGTAGGGCTGTACCGGTTGGGGTAAAGTAAGAGCGAAGAATGCCCTGCCATGTCGCGGCAATAATGTGTCCCAAGCATCACCTAATGCGGGGGCAACGAACTCATCAGGAGCTTGCCTGGGAGGTGGTGTCGCCCACCCCACTACAACTCCCTGGAAACAAGTGCAGATGCGGCACCCCGGCACAGCCGTCGCCCCTTAGGGGCGCAAAAGCGCATGGATTGGCATTCGGCAGCTATACGGCAGCCCTGCAGGGGGCAAAAGCGTCTCCCGAGCCCGGATCGAACGGGCGACCTAAGGATGTCTTTCAACGATTACAGTCCTTCGCTCTTCCAGCTGAGCTATCGAGAGGCCGGATCCGATGACTAACAGCGCTTTGGCAAGCTATATAAGCGCCAATGTGTCGTACGGCAGCCGGCAACAGGCCCCAAAGAAGGGCTCCGCGGCTCCGAATGGTGCGCTCTGAAGGCGGAAGGCACCGATCGGTGTGCTGGGCCACGTCTGAGCTAGTCTGCTAGAGGGTGTCGTCACATATAAGCTGGCGTGTGGCGGGTATGGCTCCAGTTGCGTGTGTCTCCGTTTACGCTGCCCCATGTCGCGCCCATACACCGGCGGCGTCACCGGGGTCCGTGTCATGGTCCCCTACTCGCTTCCTGGCTGCAACAGGAAGGTGCGCACCTAAACCTTGTGGGATATAGGTAGCGCCCTCCATCCAGCCTCCTTGCGCCATTGGCCCGGGGTCCGGCAGCAAGGCGACTGGGCCATAAGCTGACCTGGCCTGTTAGGGCTGCATGGGAAAGATTGGCAACGCACTATGTCGCATGCAAGCTGGTGACCCGCTAACAGGGCCATGACACGTTGCCCTCAACGCTCAACGCTCAAACAGCATCAGTACATGCTTGCAACGGTTGCGAGACGTGCGCAGCCCCAAATCAAGGGGCTGCGCGGCCTAAGGGGAGTGACGGCTGTACGACAGTACCGTACGCACTACTACCAGGAACCAGCAACATCCAAAGCAAAGGCGCTAGCACAACACCTTGTAACACACTCTGAACTACGTCGTGACTGTGCCGCGCGGCGTGCACTACAACCGAACCCAGGCATGCCGGTAGGATGCACATGCCGGTAACGCGGCACGACCCCCGCGTTGCACCTCACAGCAAGTCGTGCGGCTCCACAGTTGCGCCCTTCACGGGACAAGAACCGCTCTTCCTGCTGGCCCGTGACCCTCGCTCGGACCCACCTGTCCCCTAAATCCGCCCCTACGTCCACATCATGGGTGTCGCTGCACCCCCGCCACCTTCGTAGGGCCAGGCCCTCCTGTTGCTATGCCGCTGGCTGCAGTTCTAAGAGTTGTGGTTCTCAGCACACCATCCCATTCCGTACGTGCAACCAATCACCTGTTCGTACGTTGATTTACACATCGTAACCGTCACCTTCAGCACCATACCCTTGCTTTCCCCTGAATTCCCTTCTGCCTCCTTCCCGACACTGCTCTTTTGCAGCTCCTCCCTCGCGGCAGTCGCGCATGTGGCTTCTGATGGTGCGTTCCTTCCAATAGCTAGGGGCGTTTCCATGCTGACGCCTTTGCTCATCAGCTCCATCAGGAGCTTGCCTGGGAGGTGGTGTCGCCCACCCCACTACAACTCCCTGGAAACAAGTGCAGATGCGGCACCCCGGCACAGCCGTCGCCCCTTAGGGGCGCAAAAGCGCATGGATTGGCATACGGCAGCTATACGGCAGCCCTGCAGGGGGCAAAAGCGTCTCCCGAGCCCGGATCGAACGGGCGACCTAAGGATGTCTTTCAACGATTACAGTCCTTCGCTCTTCCAGCTGAGCTATCGAGAGGCCGGATCCGATGACTAACAGCGCTTTGGCAAGCTATATAAGCGCCAATGTGTCGTACGGCAGCCGGCAACAGGCCCCAAAGAAGGGCTCCGCGGCTCCGAATGGTGCGCTCTGAAGGCGGAAGGCACCGATCGGTGTGCTGGGCCACGTCTGAGCTAGTCTGCTAGAGGGTGTCGTCACATATAAGCTGGCGTGTGGCGGGTATGGCTCCAGTTGCGTGTGTCTCCGTTTACGCTGCCCCATGTCGCGCCCATACACCGGCGGCGCCACCGGGGTCCGTGTCATGGTCCCCTACTCGCTTCCTGGCTGCAACAGGAAGGTGCGCACCTAAACCTTGTGGGATATAGGTAGCGCCCTCCATCCAGCCTCCTTGCGCCATTGGCCCGGGGTCCGGCAGCAAGGCGACTGGGCCATAAGCTGACCTGGCCTGTTAGGGCTGCATGGGAAAGATTGGCAACGCACTATGTCGCATGCAAGCTGGTGACCCGCTAACAGGGCCATGACACGTTGCCCTCAACGCTCAACGCTCAAACAGCATCAGTACATGCTTGCAACGGTTGCGAGACGTGCGCAGCCCCAAAGCAAGGGGCTGCGCGGCCTAAGGGGAGTGACGGCTGTACGACAGTACCGTACGCACTACTACCAGGAACCAGCAACATCCAAAGCAAAGGCGCTAGCACAACACCTTGTAACACACTCTGAACTACGTCGTGACTGTGCCGCGCGGCGTGCACTACAACCGAACCCAGGCATGCCGGTAGAATGCATATGCCGGTAACGCGGCACGACCCCCGCGTTGCACCTCACAGCAAGTCGTGCGGCTCCACAGTTGCGCTCTTCCTGCTGGCCCGTGACCCTCGCTCGGACCCACCTGTCCCCTAAATCCGCCCCTACGTCCACATCATGGGTGTCGCTGCACCCCCCGCCACCTTCGTAGGGCCAGGCCCTCCTGTTGCTATGCCGCTGGCTGCAGTTCTAAGAGTTGTGGTTCTCAGCACACCATCCCATTCCGTACGTGCAACCAATCACCTGTTCGTACGTTGATTTACACATCGTAACCGTCACCTTCAGCACCATACCCTTGCTTTCCCCTGAATTCCCTTCTGCCTCCTTCCCGACACTGCTCTTTTGCAGCTCCTCCCTCGCGGCAGTCGCGCATGTGGCTTCTGATGGTGCGTTCCTTCCAATAGCTAGGGGCGTTTCCATGCTGACGCCTTTGCTCATCAGCTCCATCAGGAGCTTGCCTGGGAGGTGGTGTCGCCCACCCCACTACAACTCCCTGGAAACAAGTGCAGATGCGGCACCCCGGCACAGCCGTCGCCCCTTAGGGGCGCAAAAGCGCATGGATTGGCATACGGCAGCTATACGGCAGCCCTGCAGGGGGCAAAAGCGTCTCCCGAGCCCGGATCGAACGGGCGACCTAAGGATGTCTTTCAACGATTACAGTCCTTCGCTCTTCCAGCTGAGCTATCGAGAGGCCGGATCCGATGACTAACAGCGCTTTGGCAAGCTATATAAGCGCCAATGTGTCGTACGGCAGCCGGCAACAGGCCCCAAAGAAGGGCTCCGCGGCTCCGAATGGTGCGCTCTGAAGGCGGAAGGCACCGATCGGTGTGCTGGGCCACGTCTGAGCTAGTCTGCTAGAGGGTGTCGTCACATATAAGCTGGCGTGTGGCGGGTATGGCTCCAGTTGCGTGTGTCTCCGTTTACGCTGCCCCATGTCGCGCCCATACACCGGCGGCGTCACCGGGGTCCGTGTCATGGTCCCCTACTCGCTTCCTGGCTGCAACAGGAAGGTGCGCACCTAAACCTTGTGGGATATAGGTAGCGCCCTCCATCCAGCCTCCTTGCGCCATTGGCCCGGGGTCCGGCAGCAAGGCGACTGGGCCATAAGCTGACCTGGCCTGTTAGGGCTGCATGGGAAAGATTGGCAACGCACTATGTCGCATGCAAGCTGGTGACCCGCTAACAGGGCCATGACACGTTGCCCTCAACGCTCAACGCTCAAACAGCATCAGTACATGCTTGCAACGGTTGCGAGACGTGCGCAGCCCCAAAGCAAGGGGCTGCGCGGCCTAAGGGGAGTGACGGCTGTACGACAGTACCGTACGCACTACTACCAGGAACCAGCAACATCCAAAGCAAAGGCGCTAGCACAACACCTTGTAACACACTCTGAACTACGTCGTGACTGTGCCGCGCGGCGTGCACTACAACCGAACCCAGGCATGCCGGTAGAATGCATATGCCGGTAACGCGGCACGACCCCCGCGTTGCACCTCACAGCAAGTCGTGCGGCTCCACAGTTGCGCTCTTCCTGCTGGCCCGTGACCCTCGCTCGGACCCACCTGTCCCCTAAATCCGCCCCTACGTCCACATCATGGGTGTCGCTGCACCCCCCGCCACCTTCGTAGGGCCAGGCCCTCCTGTTGCTATGCCGCTGGCTGCAGTTCTAAGAGTTGTGGTTCTCAGCACACCATCCCATTCCGTACGTGCAACCAATCACCTGTTCGTACGTTGATTTACACATCGTAACCGTCACCTTCAGCACCATACCCTTGCTTTCCCCTGAATTCCCTTCTGCCTCCTTCCCGACACTGCTCTTTTGCAGCTCCTCCCTCGCGGCAGTCGCGCATGTGGCTTCTGATGGTGCGTTCCTTCCAATAGCTAGGGGCGTTTCCATGCTGACGCCTTTGCTCATCAGCTCCATCAGGAGCTTGCCTGGGAGGTGGTGTCGCCCACCCCACTACAACTCCCTGGAAACAAGTGCAGATGCGGCACCCCGGCACAGCCGTCGCCCCTTAGGGGCGCAAAAGCGCATGGATTGGCATACGGCAGCTATACGGCAGCCCTGCAGGGGGCAAAAGCGTCTCCCGAGCCCGGATCGAACGGGCGACCTAAGGATGTCTTTCAACGATTACAGTCCTTCGCTCTTCCAGCTGAGCTATCGAGAGGCCGGATCCGATGACTAACAGCGCTTTGGCAAGCTATATAAGCGCCAATGTGTCGTACGGCAGCCGGCAACAGGCCCCAAAGAAGGGCTCCGCGGCTCCGAATGGTGCGCTCTGAAGGCGGAAGGCACCGATCGGTGTGCTGGGCCACGTCTGAGCTAGTCTGCTAGAGGGTGTCGTCACATATAAGCTGGCGTGTGGCGGGTATGGCTCCAGTTGCGTGTGTCTCCGTTTACGCTGCCCCATGTCGCGCCCATACACCGGCGGCGTCACCGGGGTCCGTGTCATGGTCCCCTACTCGCTTCCTGGCTGCAACAGGAAGGTGCGCACCTAAACCTTGTGGGACATAGGTAGC